ATGATGGCAACAAATGTACAACTGTGCTTGACACAATGGATGGATGCATGGATTGTGTAAGAGTTGTACGAGCCCCCAATAGAATGATTTTTAAAAAAGCCTAATCTTAACTCATCAACTAATCGAGTAACATATTGGGGTACACGCTGCAGCAATATTTAACATGCATTCATCCTTCAGCAAATAGAAACTTTTTTTAATTCTGCTTCACAAAGATGGCACACTGTAGCAACTGTCTCAGTCTGTATTTTGATGATGCAAAGCATTTAAGGAGCATGTGCGTGCACTTGCGCGTGTGCGTGTGGGAGGCATACCTACGGGTAGGTGTTGAGTAGTGGTTCTCAAAGAGTGTGACCCCTTGGGGGTTTCTGAGATTCTCCCTGATCCTGAGATTCAGGGTGTCTGTCAGATCAAAACAATTCTCATAGATAAGACAAAGGGGTTTTTGTTTTCTTTCTTGCCACTGTTTTTTAAAAAATCATTTTAATGGGGACTCTTACAGCTCTTGTCACAATCCACACACACACATCCAGCTTTCCACTCTGATCAATGTACCGTGCGGTTTTCCAGAGGCTACTATGTCAGACATATGCTATGGTAACACACCGTGAAAGCCTATGTTGTTAAAAAAATGCAGTTATTTTCCATCCATATAAGTCACCTTTGTTAACATGTAATGAGATCGTTTTAAATCCCCGAATAAATGGCTCTACATCCTTCCTTCAATTCTGAATACAGGAACTCTTGATAGGCAGGCACACGACGGCACTTGGGACCTGCCGTGAGCCTGGAACCCGTGAAAGGGTTCTGAGGCCAAGAAGCTTTCGAACAGCTTTCCCGACTTGACCGGAGGAGTAAGCAGCGAGGAGGCTAAGCCAACCGTGTTCTGCGGCTTTCTCAGTCGGCATGCTTTCCGACAATGTTTCTTCTCAAGGGCATCTCGATGCGTCTTTTTAACTGGCTTTCACCTGGATGTGAATACCAGTAGGCAAGGGGCCCCCACCCCGCTCTCTGTACAGATGTAAGCAGAACAGACCACAGCACTGCACCAGGCCCCTTCCCGGAGCCTGGGAAAGCCGCGTCTGTCTCCACACGCAGGGGAGTGCCAGCAACCTGGGCAGACCCAGAAGTCTCAGGTGATAGAGGTCGGGGTATTGGGTCTGTGTTCACTTTCAAGGTACCGAGGTGCTGGCTCATGGTCATCAATTATTTTGATCTGCATGCACTTGTAATTGGGAAGACGAAATCAAATCCGCAGAAGTCTCCCCAGAACTTCATCTCCAGCCTCCTTCTATCCATCTTACCTCCCCTGCTCGAAGGGTGGGGAGGAGATTCGGTCCTCGAAATGACGTCAAAGAAGACCACCACCTCGCAATGATGTTCTCTTAACCTGATCTCTCCTACTCCTAAAGGAGAGAGCCCCTTGGACCCCAACGGTGTGGCGACAGACTTCTGAAAAAGCATATTTGGCTGACGGGACACAGAAATTCCTTGGGGGAAGACGCCATGACACCTCCACGTGACTTCCAGGCAGAGTTCCCTCAGCGTTTTAAAGTGGAAAATAGGTAGACAGGCACAACTAGGTTACAATCTAACATCTAATCACTCAATCGCCCTTTGCACCCTTCTTAGAGTTGTTCTAATTTTTGATATTTTCTGTTTCCTTTCTTTTTTTCCCACAACAGGGGCTTCCTCTATGTTGTTTGGTTGATGTTGTTAGCTCTTCTGTCTCTTTGTTTTGTGTTTGTGTATGTTTTCCTGTATGAAATCCAGGATGGATGAATCTATACAGAGAGCCAGTAACTGGGCTAATGGTTTCTTGGGGGTGTGGCAGGGGAGGTTGGGGGGAAACGGGGAGCTATAACAAGGAGCCCAAGTTACAGAGGAAATGTTCTGAAATGGACTGTGGTGATGATTGTCCAACCCTCCTCCGGACGACTGAACTATTCAATTGTATGCTATCTGGACTACTGCTATAAAATTGTTTCTTAACAAAAGAGTTAATGCAACCCTTTAAACTAGAAAGGAACGTATTGCACTTAAAGCAATCCTGCACATTTTAAAAGGTAATAACATTCAATGATATTTGATACTGACACGGATCCGTCGAATTAAAAGGCCAATATTTGAGAGCTTTCTGTTAGCACGTTTCCAGGCTACTGCCCCAAACACCTGAGTCTGAGAAAGACATGGAACAGGGCAAGTATAAACATGGTTTTCTTAAAACCTGGATGTAGCTCGACAGACTCACAGCGACCCTACAGGACAGGGTAGAGCTGCCCCTGCAGGCTTCAGAGCCGATAACACTTTACGAGAGTAGAAAGGCCCTTCTTGACCTGACAGGGTGGCTGGAATCAGTGTGGACTCAATGGCAGTGTGTTAGTGTGAGTGAGTTAGCGAGTGAACTAACTTTTCTAAAGAAAAGATCGTGGTCTGTTAACACGCTTTGTGAGGACGCAAGGTAAGCGTACCACCTCACAAGTTTTCATAATAATGGGTTTTCAAGTCAAAACTCGCATCTAGAGACGCCAAAGCCAGAGATGCCAAAGATATTTTCCAACCCGACCCGCCAGTCCTCGTTTCCACGCCTTCCTTCCGGAAGACGAGTAGCTGAGCCAATGGCGACACAGGCCGCACTGTGTTGACGCCAGGCTTGATGCAGAAGCATGGGCTTTTCTTAGTTTCTGGCTCTTTTCACAGAAGAGCTGTTTGCTGATGGCACTGCATTTTAAAGAAGCGCCTACTTCTGCTCCAAGTTTGCTTTACTGCTTCTGTGTGTGTATCGACATCTTGACACAGTTCAAATGCTTGCCAACTAGAAGTGTTTGACCAAGAATCAGTGTCATAAAATAATGTGTATTAACAGGCACCGCGGGTAGCTGGTGGGTCAGACACCACCCCCATGCCATTCCAGGGGAAGATTCTGTGAACGCTAGCTTAACTGCCTATGCCGATGCAATCCAAAACTTCACTGAAATTGTGTTTCCTAAGGATGTTCTGTGAACGCTAGCTTAACTGCCTATGCCGATGCAATCCAAAACTTCACTGAAACTGTGTTTCCTAAGGATGTGTGCCCACAAGTTGAAGTTCAAGTGTTTGGAAAGTACAAAGCCACGCTGTTGTAGTAGAGTAGCTCTAGGAAAAGTTTAAACAGCCTTGACAAGAGTGAAGCCATTTGGAGCTGACAGAAGCCATCATGAACTATAAATGAACCAGCTATGAACTATAAATGAACTAGCTGATATTAGGGAGGCAGGCTGTGCTGACAAGCGCAAAAGGCTTGGAAGGACAACTAGAGCGATGATTGTTCAACTCAGAGCAGTGATTGTTTGACTAAGAATGGCTAACCGCACTATCCTGCTTCTGAACTCTGCTTGCTTGCACACCTGCAGGTTGCAAACGCATAAAAACCTGTGAAAAAGTGAACGAGGGGCTGCTCAGTCTCCTCTCAAGAGGGCGGACAGTCCCTGCGCAGGTAATAAAAGTCTTTCTTTTGAACTTGTCGGCGGTCTGGGTTGTTTTCTTTCTGGGAACGGACAGTAGGCTACAACAGTAGGGTGGCAGTCGGGAAATGTTACATAACCTCTGTGTTAAAAATTTCACTTTAAATACCGAACAACTCCGTTATTTGGGAGTATGTGATAGTATCACATTGCCCGCTACCAGCTGCTTTTAGCCTTCCCTCCAGGTAGGGCAACCAATGGCTTAGGTATAAAACAGGCATGCAACTATGGCTCATGAATAATGAAGCAGGCTATATGTGTGGCCTCACAGATACTTAACTGCCACCCTACATTGATGCAACCAAGCTTGTGGGAAACAGATTTCCCCCAAATTGTCTCCCCCAAATAAATGCCAAACTTAGCTGCTTGCTACACATGGTAAATCACTACACTTGGTGGTCAACAGAAGTAGGTCAGGGGTTATTCTCCTTAATGGTTATCAGCCACCTAGAGCAAACAGACTGTACATTCTGTCCCACCCTAAGTAGGGCCCACTCCCTTCTGATAAGGATAGTAGTACTGTACATTGTTTCCTTCTAGGAGAGCCCAGGGAGGTCAAGCCCACTCAAGGGTGACCAAGCTTAGGCTGCCATCATGAATCTAGGGTCCGCCCATCTTGTCACATGTATACTGTTAGTCCCTCCCCTTGCTATCGTGTCCACCCCTAGCTCATCCCCTTCCCGTTGCTCATACTGCCTATGTACAACCCCTTCCTGTGACGTATGTCTTTACCTGTAATTAGGAGGCACGCACGCCCCCAAAGATATATGAGCCTTGGTTAGCAATAAATCTCTCTCCCCTGCCCTCTCAGCCCATGCTGTGCACGGACCTGGCTGGTGAGATCATTGCCATCCAGGAGGTGCGCATGCTACCGTGACATGTGTCTGCCTTCCTTATTTTACTCTCTCTCCCCTACCTCTCTCGTTCTCTAAGACTTTATTATGATCTTTATATATCTGAACTGCACCATTGCACTTACTGAACCTATGACTAGTTGTGGGGGGGGCTGGCCTTACCCACACACAGGCTCCATATAATCACAGTCATGTGCTCGTTTATGCATTTGCACTTAAGAAGGGAAGTGTTTACACGAGGAGGCATCATCAGGCTGTAACCTGACAAGTTATACCCCACCCTTTCATTCTTAATACCCTCATGTTGGCACATGTAACTACCAGTGGCCTGTAAATGTTGATATATTGCCTCATTTGAAAGTGATCTTTTTAGTCATTAGGTCCCATCAATTCAGCTCCAACCCACAGTGACCCTGCGCACAACCGAGCAAAACCCCGCCCGGTCCTGCGCCTCCCTCACAATTGCTGCTGTGCCTGAGCCCACGGACGCAGCCCCCGTGTCTGTCCATCTCACTGAGGGCCTGCCTCTTTCCCTGCCCTTCCACTCCACCAACCATGATGTCCTTCTCCAGGAACCGGTGTATGATAAGTCTTGCGTCCTTGCCTCTAAGGAGCACTCTGGCCATCCTTCCTTCACATAGATCGGTTGGTCCTTCTTTTAGCAGTCCAGGGTACTTTCAATCTTCTCCTCCAGCACCGCCGTTCAGATGCGTCTCTTCTTCTATGGACTTCTTGACTCAACGTCCAACTTCCACAGGGCAAAGTGTACTCGATTGCTGCTTCCATGAGCATTGACTGTGGATCCAGCATGACAAAATCCTTTGCACCTTCGGCCTTTTCTCCATGTATCATGTTACCTAGTGGTCCAGTGGCGAGGCTGTTGGTCTTCTTTACATTGAGCTGCAGTCTGTACTGCAGGCTGCGATCTTTGATCTTCAGCAGCAAGCGCTGCAAGTCCTCCTCACTTTCAGCAAGCAAGGTTGTGTCATTGCATACCACAAGTTGTTCAAAAGCCTTCCTCCAATCCTGACGCCACATTTGTCTTCAGATAAGACAGCTTCTCTAATAATTTGCTCAAAAGACTGATTGAATTAGCATGGTGAGAAGTTACAACCCCGAAACATACCTTTCCAGACTGTAAACCATGCAGTATGCCCTCCTCCTATTTGCACGGCTGCCTCTTGATCCATGGACCAGTTCCGAGTGAGCACAATGCAGTGTGCTGGAATTCCCGCTCTTCTCCAGACTGTGCACAGTTCACTGTGGTCCACACGGTCCAATGCCTTTGCACACTCAATGAAACACAAGGAAACATCTTTCCGGTATTCTCTGCTTTGAGCCAAGATCCATCTGACATCAGCACTGATATCCCTTGTTCCACGTCCTCTTCTGAATCTGCGTGAACTTCTGACAGTTCCGTGTCAATGTACTAATGCAACCATTGTTGGATGATTTTAAACAAAAGTTCTTTTAGGAGCTTACAAAAAAATGTTACAGATACACTTAAAAACAGTAACAAACAAAACCAAATCAGAACTAGCAGAGTAAGGTCCATGATCAAGAAGGTGTCCTTAAACCAAAAAGGAGATTAAATTGGCCAAGGGAGATGCTTGTAAAATGTCTCGGAGATGTCATAGGTCAATGATCCTGCTCCCTTGTCAATCCTCTGGGTCACTTTCTTTTAATCACCTGTGTGTCCTCTCATGCCTTGCTCTTGTCCAAATCATGCAGCTCCTTCGTTTGCTACAAGCCGTGAAACCGTCTTTCAAATCCCATGCTGAGAATGGCCGACACCAGCACTTCTCACCGGCGAGCCAGCTGGCCGCAGGGAGTGCTCACTCTGACGATACAGATTCCCTCCGCAGACATGCCCTTCCTTCTGCGTACGTACTGACCTGCACAGACACTGCCTGCATCTGCCAGGCGAGGTGACCGCTGACCGCCGTGGCCGCAGCTGCCACTTCAGTGCTTCCATTGGAGTGAACGGAACAAGAGCACACATCGAGAAGAACAACCGTAAGCCAAGCACCAAGCGGGAATACTGCACTCAGTTGTTAAGCTACCGTAGGTTAGACAACAACCAAGGCTGGGCTGAGGCATTTCCAAACTTGATTGACAAAACCACAGGCGAGAATCGAAAGATAATGAATTGTGTAGCAAATACGAATGGGCTGAAACCAGTAAGGATAACATTTCCCAAGGCCGTCCCACGCTTTCTGAGATCACAGAAAAATCAAGGAAAAGGAATCCTTAACCATATGTAGCAAAGGCATTGTTTTAACATTTAGGAAGAAACTTGATGTTTAAACAGCAATATTGTAGACCATTTAGATCTTAAAAAAAAATAATCTGAAAAGGAAAAATGGTGGGATCAATCCGAGCCCCAGACATTCACCCCTTTAAATGAATACAGATATCCCAACCACCACACCAGTAAAACTCTGTTCGAGAAGGTTCTGGGGGAAAAGTCTGGGCACATGGAGGCTATTTCATTCAATTCCTCACAAAGTTAACGGACAGGAAACACACAAGTGGCCTCTAAGGAAGAAGCCCACGTGTCTGGTTCTGCAAAACCAGGCCTTACCAAAGGCTGCTGGGGCTGCATTGCTTGGAGACCCAAGGTCTGCCCTTGGGGCTGGGAGGCCTGGTGGAGCTGGGGTTGCTGCATCTGCAGAGAGAGAAAAAGGATCATACACTTCAAAGGAGGGCTTTCCTATCACCCCCAAATTTCCTATCTATCTCCACCTGCGTGTGGTATTACAGCAAACATAATACATGCCTGCCCCCTTTCATCTCTGCCTTATCAATTAATTGTTCATCCTTCAAGGGCCCAGACAAAAAATAAGTTCTTCTCGGGCCACTCCAGCCCTAGGGGCCTCCGCCTTGTGCAGTCATGCACGGTCTACACTGCTGGCAGTTTTTCGTCCACTCGGCATGGTAGGAGCTACCCAGCGGGCTACTAACCACATGATCTGTGGGTTCAAACTCACCAGCTGCTCCTCAGGAGGCAAGTGAGGCTTTACCCTACTGTCAAGATCTGCAGGCTTGGAACCCCACAGGGGCAGTTTTACCCCATCCTGCAGGGTCACCATGAGTTGGCATCACCTTGCTGGCGGCGAGTTTGGACTTGGGTCAACAGGGCATCCTCTGCGTATCTAGTGTTTTAACTCCTTTTGTGTCTGCCCTTGGCCTCTCTGCCTGTTCCATCCTCTCACAGACCATCCGATTAGACAAGGACTGCTCAGGAACTCTCGTTCATCCCCGACGACATCCAGAAGAACTCTGGAAAACGAGATTCTTTTTTGTCTCTCTTTGTTTCTCTCTAAAGGAAGCTTTCGACGGGGCTTAGGAGACGTGCTGACATAAATTCTTAGCATGAAATCAGAAGCTGTAGCGGTGACAAAAATGGCTCATGTCCAAAGCTCTCCAAAAATACTTTCAGGCCACAGAGGAAATGTAGTCTCAGAAATACCTCGGGTGGGACATGCAGGGGAGGGAAATATTAGTGTTTTTTTCTGCATGACCTTTCCGGCTGCCTCCACCCGAACACTTCTCTATCCCAGGGCAGAATCCCAAAGATGGCAGGGTGAACGTTTTTCCCCATCCCTGGCATTTTCCATCCTTTGCTTGCCTACCTTCCCATGGAGAACGTGCTCCCTTGGACTCAGATGATAAGGAGTGACAGGCTGGCAGTAAGAGACGAGGATCGAGGGTATGTGCTCCTAGCAGAAGCCCGAGAGAGGTCACTGCCCACACGAGCAGTGCAAGCTGAACACTGACTGTACTAGGAAGTCACTTCTCCATCTGGAGCTCCCTACCTTCCTGCCCCCCTCCCAATCAAGCTAATTCAGTCATTCTTTCTTTGTCCTCCCTGGAGGTGGCCAGTCACCAGAAAAGGAGTACGTCCGTCTGCTGCAGACACAAGTCAGTTTCTCCGGAACGTTCTCAGAAAAGGTGATTAAAAAGACCAAAAACAAACTCGCAGCTTTGCAGGAGGCAGGGTTTTGCCGTTTTTGTTTTGAGAGGCGCTTCTGTGGTTTCGTCGCAATACTTTTTGATGGACCCGTGCATGTATTTAGGAGTCCCGGTAGTGCGCTGGCTAATGTGTTTGCTGCTAACCCCAAAGTCAGTGGCTTGCTCCCACGAGCTACTCCACAACAGGGGGAAGATAGGGCAACCTGCTCTCCTTCAGATCTGGCCCCTCGGAAACCGTGGGAAGTTTCCTCCTATCCTAGAAGGTCACTGTGCGTTGGAAGCAACTGGACGGCAGGGGGCTTGCCTTGGGTTGGGCTCTGTGCTTGCAGTCTGGAGAGGAAGGGCCCCTCACGCCTTGTGCTCATCTCCCCCACTCCATACCTGGAGGAGTCTCTGCTGCGGTCGCACTTGGGGCTGTCTGGGTCTCATGGGGTCCTGGGGCAGCTGCACCGAGGGGAGGTTCGGATGGGCAGGAGTCAGTACAGCATCGACGCCGACGCCCACCAGAGGGCTCTGCTGGAGGGACGGATGGTTCAGTCTGGAACACAGGGCACAGTCGGCTGTCAGGGAACGTGTGCGAGCAGATGACCCCCATTCACAAAGAAAACACAGTGTTTTCACCGATCCCCTGGGAAGTCCCATTGCGAGGAAGGCCAGTGGTTAAAAAAATCATCCTGATGCTCAGGCACAGAAAGGATCGCTGGGCAAGGGAGAGCCCAGATTGGCAAGCGCCGTCACCACTGAAAGTGAAGGTCGTGGATAAGCGGCATTTTAAAGACGTTTGAAAGGATTCTCAGTAAGATACCAGATGAATTACGCATTTGCTCTGCCAGCAGGGGCTATGCTGAAGGTCTGGGATACGCCATTTCTCTTGTTCCCACAACAGCCCTTCGTTTTGGGGAGTTCTAATTTGAAAACGAGGCAACGGAGAGCCAGAGAAGCAAGAGCCAGATCCATACCCACATCAGTCATCGATGGAGCAATGGCACAGGTGGGATGTGACCCCGGTACTTCTGGGTCTTGGAGTTGAAGTACTCAAGCAATAGATTCTATTGCCACTTATTATAGAAACAGTGGCGAGAACGTGTATTTTCCAAATGAATCGCTTCTCCCACATTGTGTTGCCATTGAGCTGTTTGTTCACACCGTGACGACTTGGGGGTCGACGTGGAGTGCGTGCCGAACAGAACAATGATTACAACGTCCTCTATCTACACTGTCCAGTAGAGTAGGGCTGGCAACACAGTGTACAGGGCCCAGTGCAGGGTAAAACTGCAGGGCTCACTGATCAAAATAAAATGAATAAACATTTCAAGGCAGTGACAGGCAGGCATTCAAACCAGTCATTCTGCTGTGGCTCTTGGGCAGGATTCCATGTGGACTCGTTGGGATCCCAGGCAGAGTAGAAATGCCTCACAGGTGGTTTCTAGGCTGTGATCTTTAAAGGAGAAGATCGCTAGATCTTTCTCACATGAGCTGTTAGGCAGGTTCACACGGTGCACCTGCCCAGCACTTCACCACTGCGCTACTACTAGAGTTCGTTCGCCAATCGTGAGTGAGCATCTTCTCAACGCAGGCCCCGTGTGAGCCCCCAAGTTTTCGTGCCCACGGAGCCGGCCTGGCTGGTAGCATCTAACGATGGGATACTGAAAACACGGCCAGTGTGCAGAAAGAACCAAATGTTTCCCTTACATTTTAATTTGTTTCGGCGTAACTTTAATTAAAAAGCCGCGTGGCTTTGGTGGCTCCCGTCATGGACACTACAGTTCTAAATGACGCCTGAATGCCTAAGTACGCAGGAGCCAGACGAGGGCCCACAGAAAAGGGCCCTCAGAATCTATCGGCCCCTGGAAAGAAGTATGGTCCTTGCTCACATGAGCCTCTTACCACGATGCTGCTGCCCCAAATGAAATGATGGAAGGGAAATGATGTGCAGATACGCAAAGGCCATCAAAGCTACTTAGAAAGCGCCATGCCTTAGAAGTCTAGGCATGGGATCATTGACAATAGCAGTCGTTATTTCGACACGTGTCACCTCTGGGAGCCAGCCAGGGGCTGCAGGTACGGCGAGGCCTGCTGTTGGACATAGCTGCCGGGCTGCTGCTGCATCTGCCTGAGTCTCTCCATGAGCGCAGGGTTGGAATGTGCTGCCGGGTACGTCCTGGAGGGGTAGCTGGGAGAGAGGACCACGCTGCCAGCCTGCTGCTGCGGCGTCTGCTGCAAAGGCACCTGCGTTCCGTACATTGTGTAGCCCTGAGGCATGGTCTGCAGGCAAGCACAAGGGAAGAGGTCAGAGGTGCACATTACCAGCCAGCTCCATGATCACTAAGACGCAGAGGACACACACAAACCCAGCGGGGGCCCCTGGAAACTCCCTAGTCGGAAGAGGACTACTCTGGCAGGCTCGGGAGGCTCTGCACAAATGACTGCCTAGAAGTCAGGCAGCTGGGCGAGCTGCAGAGGAGGGAGTAGTTTGAACAATATCATACAGGCAGTGAGATGCCAGGGAACGATGCCAAGGTCTGAGACCAAGTCTCGTGGCTTTCTGATTCCCAGCGTCCCTCCTCTTCCAAGTTATCTTGGACTAGGGCACTTTCAGCTGTGAATGAGATACTCATGGTGAACCTAAATAAATGTGCCGGGGTTTTCAAGCACTTCCATAGCTACAAGATCATTCCTAGAAGGTTTGACTTGGGAGTTTTTAATTCAAGAAATTTCCTAAAATAGGCCGTGCTCTTTAAATGACGCTCTACCCTGAGACTTGTTCAACCACCATGAGTGGTGCTTTCTGAGATACCAATGATCACATGGAAACAGAAGAAAAATCCAGGTTCTGGTTCTAGACCAGCTAAAGGAGTCGGGGGTTCTCGCTCACTTGGCTTTTCTCTGCAGAGGGAAGACAGGGAAATCCTGGCGGCAGCTATGCAGTGACAGAGAGATACCTGTGCTTGTGGCAGCCCTGGATACTGAGAGAGCTGAGGGGAGGGCCGAGTTTGTGCAGCAAAGAGAGCTGCCTGGTCGCCCGGCTGGCCCTGGAAAACAAAGCCAACACAAACTCTTGATTATAATGGCCGGGGCTGGATTGGAGCTCCTGGACCATCCTCCCAGTGACCCACATTGCAATGCGTCTCAGGACATGAACACAGTACCTGTCGAGGGTCTCACTAGATTAACCACCACCCATCCGCGAACCCCTATTCACCCCTTCCCCCGAGGTGTAGCTGCTGCTGTCCTTTCTTTGGAAGGAGACCCTCTTCTGCCCTCGGTTGAACACAGACCAAGGATGTGCGCCTGTGCTTTGCTCTGAGGCAGCTTCCCAGGAAACTCCACTCACAAATTGTCCCCTGCAGGGAAATCCGACCCCACGGGGCTGTATCCGTGTGTGACCATAAGGGAAGTAAACATGTACTGTATACAAATGGTATATAAAAAATGGTGACGTTTGAATGACATTTTTCCCAAGTGACAAAGGGATGGTTTTGGCACCTTCTGTGGCTCTACTCCTGATGCAGGGGTTTTAGCACTGCTTTCCAGAGTGGCGGTCTGCTTACATGCAGATGTAACCTAAACCCACTATTGTCACGTTGGTTCTGACTCATGGACCCGGTAGGGCAGGGGGTCCCAAGCCCGTAGATCTCTCCAGAAGCAGACAGCCTCAGCTTTGTGCCCTAGAGTGGCCGGTGGGTCTGAATCACTGACTGTTCAGTTGGCAGCCGAACGCCTGGCTGTCCTTCTGTAAAGATGACCGTCTTGCAGACCCTACGGGGCGGTTCTGTTCTCACCTATGGGGCCATTAGGAGTTGGAATCCATTGAAGAGTGAGTGTGGTTCTGGGTCTCACTCTACTTGCCAATAAAAATTGATCACCAGTTAATAAAAACTATAATGATAATCAGCTACCCTATGAAAATAAACAATGAACATCTACTCAACCAGTCTTGTTTTACTACTTGTTTTGACCATGGGAAAGTAAGAATATTCGTTAAGAGCACCTATAGGTGTGGTCTGGGTGCAGAAGGTACTTCGTTGAAACTCACAGTAAGGGTCGCAAAGAGAGGACCAGTTTCTAGTATCCCGAGGGTTTACAGAACTTACTAACTATAAGTAATAGGGTTTATGCTGGGATGATTTTACTATTGGTTTTTAATCAGAATCCCTGTGTTTAAAGTACTAAACTATAGCTCTATCCAACCATATTAAATGTGTTTGAAAAGTAAATGTCGCTGTTCCTAGCACGGAGCTAAATCAGGGAGTTCATCAACAATTATTAGCACAGAACAGAAGCCAAACACTGGGCTTCTGGTTTCTTACTCTCATTTTCTCACAAGGAAATCTGATAGATCAGAACGGAAATATTCTACCATTTTCTTCAGATGAGAAAATCCAGGCTCAAAGAGCTTAGGAAACTTACTGAGTTCACCCCGCGCTAAGCCTAACAGAGCCAGGATCTCAACTCCAAACCCAGGCTCTTTCCATTAGACTGTGATGTCTCCATGTGTATTACAGATCACAATGCTTAAAATGCTTATTCTTTAGGAAGACAGACCTCTTAAAATTACCCAGATAAGAAACTGAAAAGTGAATCCCTATTAAGACTTATGAACAAAATACTGAACACCAAAATGAGGACCTAATGTCGGGGGTTTAAATGGAGAGAAAATGTTTTGAGAAAC